GCCTTATTCGGACCTTGTGGTTTGCCAGACCAGGGCCACCTAGTTGATCAAGGCACGTTGACCATCACTTTCTGTACTTTCCTCTCTCTTTCTGCTTTAGAGGTCATATTAACTCTCGCCGAGGCTTCGTGATATCCTTCGTTTCTTTTGGTTCACCCTCTTGTACGCTGCTCATTGTACGTATTTCGCGGGCATCATTAATCTAGACAATAGATCTGTCAGTTAGAAGTGGAGCCATGTGAGGTACCGTTGTATAACGTGTCGCTACGGAATGCAATGGTAGCGAAAATTGTACTCGGTTGAGGGATGTGAACGCTGGTGGATAGACCGGCTCGTTNTGTTTCATCCAATAAATTCTGCTTTTCGAGCTAGAGCATCTGAACTAGTGTCAACTTAATTTAAAAATTGTGAGACGGTTCTGTTCTCCCTACTTTAATTTGGCAACTTTCACGAGGACAGGTGACTGAAGTAAGATTGTCTCGGCAAATTACGTGAACAGATAATGTTAGCGGATAAACCGGTGCACCGAGACAATTCTTGTGGGCCTACGACTAATGAAATTGTTCGCAAAAATGTAGTGTATTTCCGTGTGCACAGAAAGCTTTGCAATGGTTTCCAGCGTAGCAGGTCAGATTGCGCGTAATCGTAACACAGCTGAAGAGACTGACCGATGCATCAACGTAAAGTCCACAACCAGAAAAGAGCAGAATATTCCGAGAACATAACGATTTTCAGAATCGAATTTGTCATGTTACGACAGTCGAATGAGATCGATCACTCCATGCGGTTTAACAACGAATGTGGAAAGTAAACGAACAACCCCACACAAAGAAACGAATAATTGAAAGCGCGTAATCACTGTCAAAAATTTGACACACTCACCGACCATGAAATAAACCATGTTCCCACGATGAATCAGAGCGTCTATGAAATATCGTACAGCAGATTCGTCGGGCATTAATGAAGGTAATACATCACCACGCTGATCATAAACCACAACAGAAGGTCCGGAAACTTGGGATATTTGGGTGCAAAAGTTGGTTAAACATGTGTGAGCAGGAGCAGGACATCCGAGTTCGTCTGCGAAGCTACAATCCCATGAGGCGATCGCACGTCGAGCCATCGTCTTGGTATAACAACTGGCAGAGCGAGCCGTAAGGACATGCCCAGCTTGGAACAATCTTGCCTCACGCACATCAGCAATAATCAATTGGGGATCCAATCCGGTTTCTTTTGCACGACGTAATCTGGTCAGTACCTCATCCGGTTTCACTGTTAAATAACCGGACGGGTGGATTTTGTTTTTGTGGGGCTCGCATGAATGGTGCCTTGGGCGTGCGACAGAATTGGCCGACATATCTGGCATATTGAATCCTGCGATTGAAAAAAACTACAACCTTCTACGCGCAAGACGTGATTGACCCGTTTCCATCCCTTTTGTATGCACTCGACGTGATGGCATCCTGTCGATCCCGCGAAATCCGGGGCGTAACCACATCTCTCAATTATGCACCCGAATGGACCGCGTTTTGTTTGCCACAGTGACCTTGTCACATGAACGATCAATAGACCGTGCACACTGATTGGCTAAAATTGACATTGTTATTTTTAGCAGGGCCTTGGTTGGTTCCATGGCCTATTGCGCGTGCTAGTGAGGTTTATATCGGATTGGCTCGTGCTAACAACACACCATTGTCGCAGCCCGGTTTCCTACGTTTTAGCGTCATGCTCTGTGTGCGTGCGCACGACGCACTTGTGCGTGCATGCATCCGAGTGCGTCCGTGTGTGACAGAAGAGCGAAACAGGGTAAGACGAAACGGCAGAAGCAATATGCGCAGCCGCCGTGCGCGATTGTTGGTTAAGTTGCTCATTCGCGTGTTCTCCGGTGTTTCAATTTTGGGCACTTTACCCATCGAAGAATTCATTGCACAAGCGTGAATATCGAGAGGAATTTTCCAACATCTAAACGGAGATCGTAAATATGTTATTTCATATGACTAATAAAAAGGTCTCGAAGGGTGAGTGTGTCAACAATCTTCTCTGAATGAAAGTAATTGGTTGATGCAAAGGTTCTTGAAGACCAAAACTAAAAGGACATTTCTATTATTTACCTGATCCTCCCACCATTTAACTGCTGTGTGATACTATCACGTTCGTCAAAATGTTCGGCTTAACACTTCCTTATGAATATTTGGATAGCGTTCCCATGGTCGATTTTGTATTTATTTATATTTACCACCGGCTTGAGAACAAGCATGGTGCCAACGCTACAGCAATATTAACAATAACAATAACGCGGAGAGTGGGGTGGCTGGGATACAGAGTATAGGGAGAGACGTAACCGTCAGAATTGAAGATTACGAATAAACGGAATAACAATTTTTTGTGTTTCGCCGTACACTTGAAATTTCGTGCTCCTTCCAAATATCTCTCAGAGGAAACCCAGGCTTGGTTTAATAATACGATTATACCCTCAACTGTGCCATGATATTTTAAAGGGCATGTCATGCTTTCCTCTAAGAACCACGGTACATGACTCGGAATTTGACGAAATGGAAGATCCTAACTTCCGAACGTCGAAGGTGACTGTGGTTCTCTGCATGTATTGAATGGATAACAGTGTGTTTGTGTATGTATGTATGTATGTATGTGTGTGTTTAGGAAAACAGCAGCTTCTAATGGAATAAAATTTGTTTTTAAATTCAAATCTAAGCTTGGTTGTATGGTTGAATGTATCACACAGAGATTTGGCGAGGAAATTGCACATAAAGTGGAAGATATCAGTTAATAGGAAACGCTGCGCCCCCAGTTTTGTCACAGAGATCAAACACTGGTTTGAAGTTTTACTTTTAGCCTCAACCGACAACTTACAGTCGGATAAAAAATGCTAAGCAACGTAGGGTACTTTGAGCGTCGAATTACTTATATTGTCTCAAGGTGTATATCGTTTGGTAGTAAATTATACCAATAGTACAGACAGTTTCACCGCTCATCTAGGCTTCGGTTCATCTATACCGTGGTGCTGGTAAGTAGGCTGAATCATATTCGCCGCGCACTGCACCTGGTTAACCGGTATAATCTTGCGGTCGCTATCGCTTCTGTGTGAGAACGCGGGAAATCTCAAACATCCTTAAGCTCAGTTCTGATTGCAAGACGCCAACCGGAATTATGAGGAACGAAAATGGATTGTAGTTGAAGATAACTCGTGCGGAGGACACAGAAAGATCAAAATGATGATGATTCAGTGAAAGTAATTAAATCTTAGCATCCCTTGAAACGATCTCGTTCGGGTCTAATGCAATCGCTCACAGAAGTGTAATCGGCAGTGACAGCCAGAGAGGTATGCACGAAGACAATATATACATCATTGTTCAAATTATTGTTTGGCAGATTTGAAGTTTGTATGTCGATTGTGTAAAGTTCAGTAGCCTCGGTGAGATTCGAACCCATACAAACTTCAAATCGGCCAGACAACCATTTGAACAAGTATCCTTGTCTTAGAAGCTCATTCGGTGGACTCCGGTGAATTCTAAGGAAAACCTGTCGGGACAGTCAGCTTACATGCTGATTGGTGGATGCCAAATGCCTCTGTAAGTTAGATGGGTAATTCGAATGTGAAAAGATCAGTGCTACCGGTGTGGCCTCATAGCTCATCTGGTGGAGGGTGCTCGTACAAAGCGTAGGCGGCGTCCATGCGTGGGTTCGAATCCCNTGCCTCTGTAAGTTGGATGGATAAATTCGAATGTGAAAAGGTCGGTGCTATCGATGTGGCCTCGTAGCTCAGCTGGTAGAGCAGGCGCGTACAAAGCGTAGGTGTCCATGCGTGAGTTCGAATCCCACCGAGGCTACTGAACTCTTCACAATCGATATATATACATCATTGACAATGGATTTGGGGGAGTTAAAAGTTTAGGATATTCAAAATAAAAATTAGAGTGAGACTAAAACTGTAATGCGTAGTCCCTTGGCTGACGTTATCTTGGCGAGATGCATCACCAAAATCGACCACAAGTTCGGTCGAATTATGATAATTAGTTATGACGGTGATATCAATGATGAATTGTTAACCGGCAGCCTGTTACGCTGTTAAACCAAGTCCATGTTTCCGTGCGTTACCGTGATCTCCGTTGTCTTCAAGCTCATCATATCTTGTTCAGTCGCCTCACCGGACTCGTGCAGGGCAGTAGTGTTCTGACACCAAAAGTGCGCGTTCATGTAAGTCACATCTCTGCACTGTTCAGCATCACTGTCCAAGTTGTTGCAGTATACATACACCCGATCCTTCACAGACACCCAAATAACGCGCGCGGGGGTATCATGACTAGCTCACTCGCATTGTGTACGAGCTCAGGCTTTACGCAATTTTGTTCTACTTGTATATCCGTGTCATTTCAGCCTCTTTGTGCACTAATATTATGAAGTGATAGGAGGGCTCGTGGGAGGACATGAAAAAAACTTGAAGCTAAATAATTCATCAGTTTTTCATTGCAATTCCACAAAGTTTCCCCACTTTTCCTGACGAGAGGTTTTACACATTTTCTTTATGACGTTTGTTGAAACCCAGCTCGCGCTTCACCTTCCATGAACTCAAAGATATTTTCCTCAGACAGAATGACAAGATATCCGGTTAGAGACTACTACTGATTTGTGTTATCTGACGCAGTCCAACACCGGTTAACAACTGAATCCTAAACAAATCATGTAAATTCGAATATCACCAACTCGGATGTCCATATGATAATCAGGCTTGCCAATGACATAATGTCGAAAGCTGCTGATTCTCATAGCAAGGAACCGAAAACATAACCTTATACAGGAAAGTTATCAGTGTGAACTCAGAAGTAGCCAAGTCTCTATTTGGCCTTGCTAAGCTTAATACCGGTGCAAAGGTTAGTGTGTTAATCAGAATAGTATTGAATATCGGAACACGAGAACCCGTACTGTATTGCTCACAACTGGATTGGCTCCAACCCGAACTGCGATCACCAACGAGGAATTGATAGCAGCAAATGCTTATCCTTATTGATAGAGTTAGATCACGTTTTATAGAAGGTAATAGACCACATGATTGGTTGAACGACCGGCGTTCAATCAAGTAACCGTTTGCGCGTGTCTGGATCACTACAGTTGTGCTTTACACCATGTGCAATGAAAGACAACACCTCATGGGTCTGGACGCCACCAGAGAAAGAGAATCGTAACTGGCTTGCTTGTAGCCGATGGCACACAAGAGACCCAATTCATCGGAATTTATGCTGCCGATGGGAATTTGTGCAATGAACGCTTCAGCGGATGGAGAACGAAGGATGGCCCATGAGAATTCAGACAATCTCTTGAATTTTTTTTCTTTTTAATTCTACTTCCTTTTATTGAATATACAAAGACAATTTTCAGGAAGGGGGAAGCAGATGATCAAAGGGCTGCCATTCAATACACACAATGAGGAAAGTCAGGCGGTGCTAGTGGGATTCGAACACGCATCCCCGGGATGACGTTATCAACAGGCTGTATTGACCAAAATCCGTCACAACAGCCGAATGAAGAAGGTGCTTATTTTAGCCGTGGTAGAAGCCAGTGCGGAACATGTTCTTTAACGGAACGTAATCTGTTTGGTGTGTGGACATCGCAGACCGCATACTGTTCATTCGTATCTGTCGCTGTGCAACCCACAGACACAGCGGTTGTGTCCGAAAACAATTCAGATGTATGCGCGTTGAAAATGTAAATCGTTTCACTATCTCCCCCCTCCCCCCGCCCCGTTTAACAACCCTCTTCGATGGTTTAATACTGCATCCAGCTGCTTCTGCTCCTCCAAGTGAACTACTGTGGTGATCCTGGCCTATGAGATGACTCATATCCTGGAGCAACATGTTACAGTTTTAGGACAATTGTGATCAATCAAGCCTCACGGGTGACATTACCAAAGCCTGTGCGTGTCACAGCTTCTGGACTGCATGCCATAGGTCGTTCGTATCAGCCAATGAGAACCCGCGCGGCCCAGGAAGAAGCGGAACAACGGCAGAAATCCTAGAACGCGATTGGCTGAGGATCGGGTGACCAATGCGTTTGTTTTGTACATATTATTTATCCCCCCCCCCACCGCTTATTTCTTTCAATAAACGAACTGCTACTCCTGTGGCCCTTTCCTCGCGTTTCAGTTACGTGGAATATTGAGTGCTAGTACCAGTGTGATTCAGTGACGTCCGTGACTGCAAATCAGTGACTCGTATTCCAAGATTCGTATTCCGTGATTCGTGTTTCGTGTTCATTGCGTGCTACTACTACCATTACTACAAGCACTACAACCACTTGACTTGACTGTTTTACTATCAGCTGATTAGCTCTTCAGATTCATCATTCTTATGA